TGCTGCTGAGCTTGGCTGCCACCTCTACGTGCTTTTGCAGCCCAAAAAGACAACAAATGAGGAGCTGCCACTGAGACAATGTGACCTTTTGTGGTCAATAATTTGCATGGCTGACTTAGGTCTGTGGAGGACCAAGAATGAGCATCATCACCATGCCATCTAATCCCACTTGTGGTACTCTCAGAAGCACGATTCCACACTAGGACTCATCGGCCAGGTTACTTCAAGAACTTCCAGTTGCTGGAATCAGACCACATGGCTGATGTGTCTCCCTGCCTGCTGTGACTCTTGCCCCCCAAGGGCTGATGAAGGAACAGACATAGAACAAAGTGCTTGAGTCACTGGATGCTGGAGTACCACTGTCCCCCTCCATTATGGGGTGATGGTACTAAAACAGGAATTCTAAAAGCAACAAGGAAAGGAGAGGGGAAAAAAATATAATCTCCTTAAAGTGTCCTCCATGCCCTCCCTCACCCCGCTGCTTTTCTGATACAGGCTAAAGCAATTCAGCATCGGGAAAGGGAAAGGGACTTTGCCATCACTCGTCAACGAGAGTGTGTGGGAGGGATGAATGTCTGCGTGTACTTCCTGATAATTTATTGCTGACATCTGTTGCAGCCTCTGCTAGCTACCCTTTTGTAATATAGGTCACTCACATGCCCTGCCAATGCTCATAAGCCAGGCTGTTAACGGAGTCTGATCCCTGAGCCGTGATCCAAAGGTTAGTGCAAAGGGCTAGGAGAGATAATCAGAGACAGAGGTTGCTGGGCTCTGTTTCTGACAGTGGCTCATCCCAGTGACACAGTCAGCTGTACCTCTAGCCTCAGTGTACCCATCTGGAAAATGGGATAGTTTTATCTCCCTACCTAGAGCACAGGCACTACTGGCTATGACCTCAGCCTTAATTCTGGGGGTCATTAAATACAAAATAATACCACCTACAACTGTGGTAAGAGCCATTCGTAGAGCAAATGGAAAGCTTTGGATAGAAAGTGCCAAAGAATTGGGAAGTGTTACTAAAACAGTATGTGGATGCAATAAACTGAAACCCTTCCCACCCTCACAGCATGTTGCTTGGGACCCTACTCACAAAAGCTAAGGCCTGTAGAGGGATACTGCAAACATTACTGGTGTCTGGGCAGGGAGAAGGGAAGCACAAGACAGCGATAGTGCCTGCTGTAGCTTTTATGCCCTGGCAAGAGCCGCAGAGTCATTACAGTCTCCTCAGCAACCCCCCCAGCAGCACAGTTCCCTGTTCAAGCTAATTAGGGGAATCCTCATTAGAGAGTCCTCTAGAGTCTGACAGCAGGCCAAATGTCCAAGTGGCACTTCAGCTCAGTGTATTTTTGGCCACTGGAGCCCATGGGCCAGAAATGGATGATTTCATTCTGTTGCTTTGAGCTGAAACTAAAAAAGTTGTCTTTTACTGTCCTATATCAAACAGCAAGAAGAAAAGGCCATCACTAGCCCCATAGGCTACTCTGTTCATTTCTCCAGAATCTGGAAAAGACATTCAACTCCAAGCACGTGGAAGAAAGCTCTGGACACTGTGTCCCATGGATCACAGGGCATTCGGCTGACGTTGCTCCAGGGAGAAGGAACCATCTAGTAAGCCCTGAAGAAAGACTTACGCCTGGTTTGTGGAGCCCTTGGGTGACTTCAGAGCATTCAGAGCTCCAGCAGTGCTGATCAGCCTTGAGCCCCCAAACTCAGGCAACGCCATGCTAGTTCAGAATGGATGGCACGGTGCCTCTTCTCTTGGTCTGGGGGCATGTGGGGGGCACTTCTAGGTCTGGCAGAGTCCTCGCTACTGGAAAAGTCCTTGGCTGTCAGGCTGAAAGCAGCCAGACAGATTTGGTGGTGCTCTGGAGAGCCTTGAGGTGTGGGCAGGTGAGAGTTGCCCCAGGACTATGGGCTTGCCAGTGCTGTGTTGGCAGTGAGCGCAGCTGGCCTGGTGCTCTGCAGAGCAGAAGGCATCTCTTGGGTCACAGTGAAACAGCTAGTTAAGTCAGAACTCAAGACAAGTCAGAGAAAACCTTTAAAAAAGAAACTCTGAAAAATTCTCTCTGCCTCCTTTCTCTCTCCTGGCTGCAGAATATTAATCACTAAGAGTCTAATGTTCTTATGGGCAATAGATGCATGGGAAAAACTGGGTTTTTCTGGATCCTTGGAATTAACATTTCTCCAGAAACATACTACTTCAAGATATAAATGCAGAAGCTCATTGCCCCTGGTACTTCAGCAGTCAAGAACCTCTACCTATTCCAAATCTACTGCTCTGCCACCTGAGCATATGTTATGCTTGGAGAAGCAGGCAGTTTTGTGCAAGACATGGATGCTGATAAATATGGGTTACAGAAGAGACCCTGGTACATGTGCAAGCCCAACTCTGTGCACACATTTGTGAATGTAAGCTAGATTGGCGACTATATCTGCATATGTACATGAAGATAGCTGCTTTTAAGTCTTAGAAACATGTGTATGAGTGCACAAAGGGTGGCTGCTATCTATGGGGCGGGGAGTGTTGTGTTTATGTGACATGCTTTAAAAATAATCTTGGGTTTATCAAGGCGCCTCCATCTTTGTGCGTGTTGCAGCACAGGAGACAGCATTAAAGCCTGAACAGGTGTTAATCACTATGCACTGTAATAAATTCTAAACATAGGGAAAGGGCTTATTTATACACGGCTGCTCCTCCCACCCTGCACTCTGTGCTTGAGCCCCTTGGCGCTGCCTGAGAGAAAGAGGCGCTGGTGAGGTACCAGAAACCAGTGCAAGAGTTGGACTTGCCTAGCCAGAGCAGAGGGAGCTAGGGGCAGAAACCCTGAGACCACCACCGTCCTCACACCCCGCTCTGCAGGTCCTGCTCTCAGCCCCCCGCTGTCGCCTGGGGATGGCGTGGCTGAATGGCACAGAGCGGTGAGTGGGGTGTGGGAGACACCAGCCCATGGCCTGAGTGGGGGCCTGGGCTGAGGGAGATCACAGAGGGAAGCCGTGTCACGAAGCACCCAAGGAAGCTATTTGTTTTTTTTTTTTAAAAGCTTAGCCCCCCTGCTTGGAGCCGAGCCAGCTGATACAGATGGGGTGTTACAAAACAGAGCCAAAAGGCAAAAGCGTAAGGAACAGAGCTATCTATAACCTTGACAAAGTTAGATGGAGTGAAGGTGGGGAAGAGGGAAAGACAGAGCGTGGCAGGCAGCCCCTGATGCTGAGAGCAAGGACGCGATCGTTCAGCAACGGGATTTGGAGCTGATCAACTCCCGCTATCCAGCAGGCAGATAAGGCTCTGTGGCTGTCAGCTTAACTCTGCCGTTTATTCCTGTGCTGTAGGGAGTTAAATAGAGCACACAGAAAGCCTGCTGCCGGGGAGTGAAAGTCAAGGAGGGAGAGGGAAGGAAGAGGCTGTAATTGGGCAGTGCCCGGGGAGTCGGGTGGAAGTGGCTGCAGGCAGAGCCCCTCCAGGTAAGTGCTTATGGCTTTTCATCCTCCTTGTCGATACCGACAGCTGGGGACAGGAGACTTCAGGGGTGGCATTTAGGATGGAGACATTGATATGGGGGAGGCTGAAAGTCTCCTTCTCAGCCAGGGCGAGCGTAAGCACTGAATGGGGACAGCTATTTGTTGCGGCTTCTCCTTCAGCCAGGACTGCAGGGAAAAGGCTCCAGCTCGGTTTGGGGAGTGGGGGACGCAGCGGGTGAAGGTTGGATCAGTTTCAGCGCTGAGAGAGGTATTCATCTATTTGGTGCATTGGCATTTGGGTAAATGATCTAAACAGCCTTGCAAAATGTACCAGTCCAAGCACCAAACCTGCTCATCTTTCTCATCGAGATGTTAATTTAAATATTTCCTTGTGGTTTACATTCCCATATCAAATAAATCAGTCATGGGAGCCTGAGGGAGGGGAAGCCGCTGGCACGTGTGTGGGGAGAATGTCCCAGTGGGAGTGCAGCACCCAGCTAAAATAACAGCTGTGGATGTTGCCAGAGCCCCTCACAGGGGATGGAGGATGGTTTATTTCTGTACTCCAGTTGAAATGTGTCCATCTGACTGCTGCTGTGACTGTGGGTGGCACGTCAGAGAGCAAGCAGGGGGACAGGAGGGTCCATGGTGTTTCCTCTTTTTCTGCTTGCCTGTATCCAAAAGGGAAGCGGGAGGGAAGTTGGAACCTGTTGTCAGTCACTTATTGTCAGGGGAGAGTTTATGGTCTTTGGGTTTCTAATTAGACTGAGCATTTTTCCTTCTTCTAATTAAGATGTAATTCCTCTCTTTTCAACACTCCCACTCACTCTCCCCCGCCCCAGGTCCTCCCTTCTCCTCCGAGGCTCGCTCGCTCTTCAGCTCCTGCAGTTGCTGCAGTGTGAAATCCCCAAGCTGAAGCTGTGCTCTGCTTAGCCCCACTCTAGCCACCACATCCATTTTACCTTAAACCAGAAAGGAAGTGCTGGTAGGAAATACAGGGCGGGGTAGAAGGGGCTTGGCAGCCACTGATGCCCAGACCTCAGTGAGCCTGAGCCGTGCGTCAGGGAGAGGATGCACAGGTGGTACCAGCCTGCATGGAGGCGAGAGGGAATGAGCTGGAGTCTGCTGCCCTGGCAGGGTCACCTCAGCAATTCGTCAGGTTAACCTTGAGTGTGAGGCTAATGTAGCTACCGTAGCAGGCTTGTCTGTTCGGCACTTAGGTGAATCAGGCCTTGCTTCTGCACTGCGAGGTTCAAAGTGAATTAACGTTGTGCCTTCGTCATGACTCGCCTCCTGAAACATCCTCCATCTCTCCTCCAAAACAGAGCTGATGCCTCAAAGGCAAAATTCTAGTTGGGGAGGGGAAAGGACAACACTGAGCCCAGCCTCACGTCCTGCACCCAGGGAACTGAATCTCACCCTCTATGCTTTGCTCTCCCCCTCCAGGACCTGGCAGGCAGGCTACAAGGTCATTCCTCCTCCCTTTGGGGCTGTGTGCCGGGCTGGCTGGTGGATGTGAAGACACGCTGGAGAAGACAACAATGCTGCCTACAACTGCTGGCCACCGGTGGAGAAGCACATTCCTCATGAGGTGGCAAGAGGCTTGTCGTAAGTAATGCCTAGTCAGGTACTAAGTACAATGATCCTGTTTGTCAAGGGAGTGGAAAGAAAATAGGTCACATCAGGGTTAAGAATAGGGGAGAGGAACAGCTAAGAATGGAGATGTTTGAACTAATTCCTGATTCCTTTAGAGGCCAGGCTAGCTGGGAGGGAGAGCGAGACTCTAAAGCCGAAGATGGGCTTAAAGTGGAACAGTGAGTGATGATTGCTTCTGAATTCCAGTGGGCCTGGCAGTGAGAAACAGCAAGACAGATACCACTGCACAAAGATCTACCCCGAACATGTATCAGACTGGGATCCTGTAAGCTGCAGACTCCTCTCTGTGGTAGGGGTTTACACGTAGGCTGCTGAGCTGAGCAAGGCTCCCAGCTCTTCACAGCAGAAGCCATGACAGATTTCAGAAGGGAATGCAGGATGCAAATGCAGAATTCTCCTACTGGGCACTGCCACATGTAGTGAAAATCAAGGAGTATATAAAGAAGATCTCTTTTAAATTAAATTTTAAAAGTTCGGCCTGTGCATCTTCCCAGTGGACTGGGGCATCTGCTACAGTATCCCTGAGTGCAAAGCAGAGAGTGCTATGGCGATGTGGGGCTTCAAGGAATGTACCTGCACTTCAGAGAAGCATCTGGGGACTGTAGCAGAGCAAAGGGAGCACTTGGAGAGTGTCCACCACTAATGCATTACCAGCTGCCAAGCAGGTCTGTGGTTTCCCTTGTTCCTGCCCCCTGATCAAGTTTGTGGCTGCCACTGTAAGAAGCTGTGGGAATTATTTCCTGCTCCAGAAAACAGGTGTCTTTGTAATCCATCCTCACAGACTAGACTGCCCTGTAAATTATTTATAATGAATGCTACTGAGTCTTGACTTAATCTGATATACCTGGATCAGCTTTCTGCCACCTACTAGAGTCACCAAACGCCCCACAAAGTAATTTCATCTTCCCCGAACACAGAAGCACATACTACTCATCTTTTGGTAGGGCTGGAAGACAGCTTCAAGTTCTGTCTATTGCTTCCCTGCCTCTCATCCCCATAGAGCTGCATCCTAACCAGTGCGACGAATTCCTTGGTCTTAGCAGACTTCCTAGTGGATGCATCTCTTGCAGGGTCTGAAAATTACATCAGACCTTCTCTCTCTATGATTTTAGTTAAACATTTCCAAGAGCACAAAACAATATATGGGTAACAACAAGACATTTTTGGCACATCTTGCATGGCTGCAGAAACTTGGCGTAAATCCAGTTCCTGAACATAACCACAGCCAGCTGCCTGAGACTTTGTTGCTACCAGCCATTGCCAGCATACATACTGGTGGAACCCCACAGCCACCCATTTGGGGCCAGTGGTGGGCAAGCATTTTGAGAGATAAGCCCTGAACAGAATGCCACCTGTATAGCATTACACACTGTCTGCTCTTGCCTTTCTTGGTGTACAAAGCTACTAAGTGTTATCTCATTATCACAGCTGCCAATCTATTATTAATACTGTACTTTTGTTAAGCATCCAGGAAAAAACGGGGTCACTTGAGTGACTCACAGCTCTCTCCCTTCCCCACTCTAGCTCCCATTCTCTTAATTCTCTCCCTACAACAAGAGCGTGATGTATTTTGAATGGAACTAAATACCAGCCAGCCAGTACCTGCACTGCGCCAGTCCACAGGCTATGATCTGGTTTTATGGCAATCTCTGCTGTTGACCCCAATCTTTGCATGACAAGAAAGCACAGAGGTGCTCAGGGTAAAGGTCTCTCTTGTATTTCACCATTAGGATCCATAATTATAATTAAAAGAGCACACAGATTGGCACAACCTGGGCTGATGTACACCTGAGATCTCAACTGTAGGACAGAAAAAAATTCTTGATGGAATTGTGAAAGATGGATGAAACAAAAAAGAGTTGAGACACTCTCTCTGAACACTTATCCCTTGGTCCTTAATAAAGTCATATAGCTTAGGATCCAAACTGTGTAGTTCTCCTTAGGCTACCAGTCCACAAATCTGCCAATTCTCACAGGGATCACTGGGAACACAAAAAAGCCCTATGTAGGATGACAGGGTTGGAGTATGAAGCGATCATTGCTGGCAAAAGCCAAGTCGATATAAAAAAATGGGCTATGAGTCAGGCTAAACTCTCTCTAGAGTGGTGCAAGGGAAGAGAGGAAGAGCATGGCTGACTGCAGAGCTCTTCCCGGCAGAGCTTCTCCAGAGCACGGGTCTTCCCCGTCTCTCTCTCCTATGGCAGTCCTTTCACAATTCCTTTGGGGTTAAGAAACAAACCACCTGCTTGTTGGTTCTTTGGAAGGAAGCAGGACAGAAGAATCTGGTTTCCAGTCCAGGAAAGATTGGCAAGACAATAAAGGCATCCACTTTAGCTACCGTTCACCCCTAAGAAAATTCTGCCAACCCCAAGTGACTGCCTTCTCTGAAGAAAAGTGAGAAAGGGAGAGGACAGGGCATGACATACAGACAAACCTGCTTCAGTTTTAGTCAAATGCTCAAACTTGTCACCTTAAAAAACATCAAGGGAGCTGAATTTGCTTCCCACATTGAAGAAACTAATCTCAATTCCACAAAAGGAATGAAGATGAAGGATGCAAATGTTTTACATAGTCTGCTTAAACATAACTCCCACTCCTCTAATGACAGGAGGCACAAAGCTTGCTTTCCTGTGGCTGATGCTGCTTTATCACAGAAATGAGAGTTTTAAAAGCCACTGGCTCCCAGGGAGGGTTGGTAACTAGTGCCCTGATGCCACTCACAGAATCTGGTCCCATGTCTGGAATGGTGATCCACAACAGCTCTAAAAAATGTTGTTTTGTGGACTGTCCAACCTTACTTTTCAGACTCTGCAGGAGAAAGGGAGTGTGTGCCAAGTCTTTTCCTAACACCTCTCTCTTCAACTACCAACCTGCAATTTTTTTCCTCATCTCCATTGCTACGGGCAGTTTTGGTCAGAAGAGATACTTGTGGGTCTATTGCTGTGGCATTCAGAAATCGTTTTGAGAGCAATGGCAAGTACCAGGTGTCCAGTGGTTTAGGGTTTCCTTGTTACTTTTTAACAGCTTTCTTGGTCATCCCATTGTAATTTAATCTAATTCATAAAAAAGTCTCTTGCCACAAGGCCCACGCAACACACTGTGGATATGGAAAGCAAATGATACCCTGATTTAGAGGCTAACTTAGACCTGAGTCTAATCTACCACAAAGATTAGGATTCAAACTGCAGGAGCACAACTGAGGTGTAGCTAGTTTTGTTTTCTTTTTCCTTAAAAGCTTTTCATTAACATGTCTATTTCTCAAAAAATAGAGCTTCTTAAATATATACCGTTCCCTCCTCTCTCAACCCTGACTGTTTAGAAAGAGCTGACCTTTATCAGAGGTGCCACCTCCCACCAGTGTCTGCTCCATTCTCCTCTGACAGGTTCCAGTGCTCTAGTATCTGGCAGCAAAGTCTGCTGGGAAGCACTATTCTATTCTAACTTCCTTGTGAAGCTGGAAGGATATTTACTTGCTTGCTCACGAAAAAAAGGCTTAGTTTTGCCAGGGTGCAGGCCAGCAGTGAAGGGATGTAGCTGTGAGGAAGCTCATTACACTGCAGGGCACTGCAGCCAAGTGTCCCGCTGTGAGGGTCATGTTGTAGCCATAGCTGTGCTCAAGGCGGTGATGGGTGAGGATGGGAAAGTGCTGTAACACACACACTCTCTCTCCCCTGCTTTTCACCTACCAGTGCTTGGCTGTTGGCTGTCGCTATGTGCTGCCGAGTCCTTCTTTGCTTGTCCTTCCTCCTGCAAGTGTAACAGTGGCAACCTGGAAGTGGACTGTAGCGGCTTGGGCCTCTCTTCCATTCCCTCAGACATCCCCACAAACACCAGGACCTTCCTCTTTCTCAACAACAAACTCAGCATCCTGCCGGGAGCAGTGTTCTCCAACCTCTCCGCCCTACAGAGGCTGGATCTATCCAACAACTTCTTGGATCAGCTCCCTCAGAACATCTTCAGTGACCTGGGGAACCTCACAGAGCTCCAGCTGAGGAACAACAGCATCCGGGCCTTGGACAAGGACCTACTACAACACACGGCCCTGCTACGCCAGCTGGATCTCTCCATCAACGGCCTGGCCCAGATACCCTCGGGCATCTTTGACGACCTGCCTGCTCTCCGCTCCCTCTCTCTCAGGTCCAACCGCCTGCAGAGCCTGGACAGGGTGACCTTCGAACCGCTAACCAGCCTGCAGCAGCTCCAAGTTGGGGATAACCCCTGGGAATGTGACTGCAACCTCCGAGACTTCAAGCACTGGATGGAGTGGTTCTCCTACCGAGGTAGGTGCTTGGGCAGTGGGAGCCAAGTGCAGAAGGGCTGGTCTTCCACAGAAAGGCAGACAAAGGCGGGCAGGGGAAAAACACGAGCAGGTACATCTGGCAGGTCAAGCTGACCTGAATGCCAGATCTTAGCCACGGGACCGTGCTACAATGCTAAGAGACAGTTTAGTGCCACTGCACCTTCATACAGCAACACTGCCAGGCTGAGAAATCTTCTGCAGCCCCAGATCTCCTATTTCCATGTTTTGTTTCTAATCTGAAAGATTTTTATTTTTTCTCAGGAGAGGAAAGAACTTTCCCCAAATAACATCAAAATTTTAGGATTATGAGTTTCCCTCACCCTTTCTGCCTAAAGAGGAGAAATGCTTTTCGTGCTTGAAAATAACTGTCCCGTTCTCTTTCTTAAGCTGGGAGAACGAAAAGCCAGATTTAGCTGTAAAGCATCAGCTTTGTTTTGAACAAAAGAACCATAGGAAACAGTGCCACTTAGGAAAACACGGCAACTAATATTGGCAAACCCAAACTAAAGCTTGAATTAACAAGCCAGGCCCCAAGTCAGACTGGCTATAAAATTGTCATTTCAAACCAAGCAGTTTTTGACAAGTTTGTATTTCCAGTTTTTCCTCAAAATATGGAAGGCTGGAAAGGTACGTATCACTTTTTTTGACGGGATGACACGCTTTCAGGAGCTGCGACTCAAAGAAAGATGGCACATTTTACAGGAATGACGACTGAAGGCCTGACCTTCTGTCGCTGGAGCCAATGAGTAGGAAAGGGTCTCAAATCATGTGGATAGCAACAGTCAGCTGTCACATCCCTGCTGATCACAGCCATGCTGCAAAGAGATTATCTATGCCTATGGCTACACTGCAGTCTGAAATATGCATTTTTGTGAGCAGAATCAAACAAGCATACGAATGCCACTTCCTTTTTTTTTTTTTTTTGTTTGCTTGCTTTCTTGACTCTCATATCACAGGTTCAATGGAAAGCACACGGAGTTAATTTTGCTTCTTTTTCCCTTTCCAAAGAAATAGCCTAAACTCACTCAAGCATTTGTTTCAACATCTGTCATTATTTTCACAGAGGGGGGATGGATTAGTTGTTAGAAGATGGGACTCTGTGTCTGTTGTTATTTTGAGAAGATACAGCCTGGTTCTATCTTTTTACTTTAATTTCTCCTTTTCTAAAATGGTTCTACTGACACTTACATAACTTACTAAACGGTACAAGGCTGACTTAATAGACAGTTTCAGAGGGCTTTCCTGTCTTGGCCTGAAAGATGTCTATGCAGATATCACGCACCATGAGCTCTACTGTCAAACCCAACCTAGGCAGAAGCATATCAGCCAGCTGCCATGGTTGAAGCTGTTCCAGCTGTGGAGGGCTAAGGCATGCAAAATAAATCCAACCTAGGTAAAACAATAATTTTAAAGGATACCACATGTGCTCCTTCTGCCCAGTGCATGGAGGTGCAGCCATTCCTCCCTCCCTTCACCTTTGACAAGCACTGAGGATCTGGCAGGCTCTCGTGAACACTCTCTCTACTCAGCAATGCATTCACACCTGAGGGACTGGATTTTATGGCCCCATTGCTATAGTAAAGAATTTCCCCACTTGATAACCATAATGTTGCTATGCCTGACTTCTGTAGGGCAAATACTTAGCAGGCATGAATGGGGTCATAGGAACTTATCCCACCTGAGGATCTAGCTCTGCTGTCACTGTATCGGGGTGAAGCTGTGGTTCACTGTTATCTCTGTTGGACAGGCGGGAAAATCGACCAGCTGGCATGTACCCTGCCCAAGGAGCTGAAAGGGAAGGATATGCGAATGGTACCCATGGAGATGTTTAACTACTGCTCCCAGCTGGATGATGAGAACAGCTCTACAGTGCTGGACAATACTGGCCCACCCTGCACTAAAGGAAGCCCAACTCCTTCCAAATCTAAATCGAGCCCAGAAACAGAAGTGGAGCCCAGTGTGGGATGCCCTCAGAAACAGCGATATAGGCCTGTGAGCGTGCGCCGGGCTATTGGCACTGTGATCATTGCAGGGGTGGTTTGCGGCATTGTTTGCATCATGATGGTGGTGGCAGCTGCTTACGGTTGCATCTATGCCTCCCTTATGGCCAAGTACCACCGGGAGCTGAAGAAGAGGCAGCCACTCATGGGTGACACAGAAGGTGAACATGAAGAGCAAAAACAAATCTCTTCTGTGGCATGAAAGTGTTCTAGGAAGGAAGGGACAGCAATGAACAAAGGTATCTGAGAGCAGTCAAGCATGGGGTCCTCCCAAAATACATCTTCCCAGACAGACAGACTGTGCTATTGCTCCACTCACCCAAGTAGTGCAACTTGCTTCTGGGGGGCCGGGGCACCTGGCTCTATTTCTGTTCCTCTGCCCCAGGCCCATTTTGTGCCCTTTCACCCTTGGGCCCTCCCAACAAATAAAGTAGAGTCAGACCTCGAGTGCTTGCTGTGCCTCATGCCCTTGCACAGAGCTTCCCTCGCATGCCTGCTGTGGAGGCAGCTGGCACCTTCTGGGAACCTGTGTCACCCTCTCAGCTTCGGTCCTCAGTTGTCCTATGTCCTGTCAAGAGCTCTCTGCAAACAGAGAACAGCTCTGTGAAAGTTTATGTGAGGAGCAGGACACCAGAATTGTCCATGCCTCGCTGTTAGGGTCACTACTGTTGTGTGACAGTAAGTTGCTGCCCACCCTACAAGTCAGTGCTGCTGACAGCACATCAGAAGGGAGGGAAGGTCCCTAGGGAATGACAACAGTCAGGGGGAGATTTCCCTTCTCACTTTTAAAGGTGGAAAGATACCTGTATCACTCTAACAGGCTGCCAGGGAGCACAGCGTTCCTCTGTTTTGCTCCTGGCCAAGTCCAAATCTGAGAGCTGACACACACATGTCATCTGCTATAGGTGCACAGATACAGCAGGCCTCCTGTACACACACACACTGACTCATTCTGATCCCAACACACATGCAGAGTCAACCCCAGCTCCAGACATCCAGGCACCCCACCTGTGCATGCAGAGCCACACGTGCCCATGCTGATCTGCCCTCAGCCACGAATACATTCAGCCACTTTACCTTACTCTCACCATAACAGTGCACAGGACCTTCTGCTTCAGACAAAATACATGCACCCTGCCACTGAGGAGCTAACAAAAACATCTCAGCCATAGTGCAGTCAGAGGAAATGAGCAGGAGAGAACAGAGAGAGGCAAAGTTATTAAGGTTACAGCATGAGTCTGTGGAAATAAGTATACAGCACTGAACAAAAAAAGGTGCGTTCTTGTTATCTATTTTCCATGATAAATGGTGATGGTAAGGATATGAAGCCTCCATTTGGAAATGTTTGACTGGCAGAGCAGAAGTGGGTCATCAGGAAAGACTAGAGGAGGAGGTGGCTTACCAGCCTCAGTAGCGTAAGCCATGCTGAGGAGCAGTGTGAGCCTTGGGGAAGGTGGCAAGAGAAGATACACAACCCAAATGCTGGCGTGACTGGCAGAGGGGCAAGCATGGTGTATGGAGTAGGGTTATGCAGCTGGGCGACTGAAGAGAGGCAGCACAAGTCTGGATGGTCTTGAGGTGAAGGCTAAAACCTGGACCACAGTGTGGCACAGGTGGGACAGCCCATGAAGGGTCCGGCTTGGTAGGCAGCAAAGCCTGCGTGCGTTTGCCTCACCATCACTGCTGTGGTCACTGCCATCCACAGCTGCACATGAGTGTGCCCACGCACACAACTGCACACACTGCCACTGTCACATAGGGTGACTTCCCCCAACCAGATTTTAAAGCCCTCAGACTGCAGTGCCTCCTATTAGTCTTAGCTCTTCCCGATCTGATAGGGGAAAAAAACCCCAAAACACAAAAAAAGTGAGAGGGGAAAAAAAAAGAAAGGAATTCAACATAAGGACTCATTTTGTATCACTGGAAGTGGGATAAAATGCTGTCTCCAGGGGAGAGCGCACATTGCCATGGTAACCTGCTCTAACCCGTCACAATGGGTATTCCTGGGCAAGGAAGATGACACCGGAGGTCGTGCATCCGCAGTGCCTGTGGATGGTGTGATCCCTGCCATCAGGAAACAAGCTGGCAGCCAGCCCAGCTTTGCAGGGTGTTTTGGTAGCAACCTTTGTTCAGAGCCCAGCACGCACTGCAGGTGGACCCCACCAGGGCACGTCACCTCTTCCCCCTGCTGCAGCTGGATCCCGATGCCTTTGGATGTCTCACAGCCCTCCTGCTCACTGCTGCTGGATCCCTGTGGAAGCGACGCACGCTGGCTCCTCACCCCTTTCTGGTCCCAGACAGGTGGTTGTACTGACCCATGGGCACACAATGCCAAGTCTTTAATCAAAGCCTGGAGTGGCAAAATCCCTCCTGGCCTACCCAGGGCCACCAGAGGCAAAGAGGCAGGATGCTCTGGACTGTTTTAGCAGGACTTTCCTTTGCCACAGGGATGCGTGGGGCAGGGGAGGATGTTCTTCAGGAAGCAGAAGACCAGGCTGCCCTGGAAGAAGGACTGGGAGAAGCAGTCCACCCACAAGTGTGTGCACACATTGTACCCCCACACTGCTTGTGAGGAAGAGGAGGAGGAGGAGGGGAGCTGGCAAGATGTGAGGAGGAAGGACTCTTCCCCCATGCACTGTATAGCCACTCCAACCATCCCATCTGCTGCAACCGTAGCCCGCTCTGAAGGGCAGAACTGGTGCACTGCAGACTCCGTATGCGTGTTACTGCTGCTCCACATTCCCAGCAAGCCAGGACTAGACTGCCTGCTGGATTCAAACCTCTCCCCAACCTCCCTCTCAGGGGAACTTCTCCCTTTACCATACTGGACTCCGCAATCATACTTGAAATGGGACTTGAGTCAGAGTGGTATATTTATAGATCTATATTTTACTTGCATCAAATACTGGTGAAATATTGCACAAAACAAATGGGATCTATATATGTGTGTGTGTGTGTGCGCGCGTGCATGTGTGTATGTGTGAGTGAGCAAGAGAGTGAGAGAGAGATTGTTTTTAAGGGGATAGACTAGAGGTGAAATGAATGGGAGGGAGGCAGGGGACAATGCAGGTGTTGGGAGGGTGAAATCCTCCTTCCTCTGCACTTTTCCTGTGACCTCCTCCTGCCCTGATCAATTTTTCTTTGTTGCTAATAATATTTTCTCTATCTTGTGTTGTGGGGCTGATGATTACCTTGCCTATCCTTTCCTTTTTGTTTTCATTTATAAGGCAGAAAGTCTGGAGTCATCTCAACCCTAGACAAGGGACTGCTATGTTTAGAAACCCACCCAGGAAAGGAGAAGACAGGAAAGGGGAGCAAAGAGAGTTGCTGAGAAACATGAAGGCTGGCTGCTATGGGGAGTCCCACTGGAAAGCAAATATTGTGCTTGGAAGGACAAGGACCTGTCCTCTTTTGCACAGAGTAGACTAACAGAGTTCACTGGGAAATGCCCTCTTTATACCACTGTTTGCAAATAAGCTCTTACTCTGTTTGCTAGAACACCTGGAAAACAGACTGTCCTAGTGTGACTGAGCTGCTGCAGTGTCCACAGGCACTCTGGGGAACATGGTACCCAGCGTGGTCAGAAACAAAGCTCTCCTGCGGGATGCTGGATACAGAACGAGATCCAGTGCTCCTTGTGTGCCCAGACAATGGGTTCCTCTGGTGTGTGGGGACAGGGGCTCCCGTTCTCCCTGCAGGCGCGGCTAGGCATGGCGGGAATCCCCCTGAACGCACCCTTTGCTGCAGGCAGGTGGACCAATGCCACATGCAGGTGCCTGCCCTCAGGAAATGGTCTTCTGGGGCAGGCAGGTCCCACACCTGCCAGGGCGATGTAGGGGCTGGCAGGGCCACCAGAAACACCCCTTCTGCTCCCCTTGCTCCCCTTCCCCACACACCCACTTGTGGTACAGGCAGGCACATTTCTTACAGGGAACAGATGGCACTTGTAATTCCTTTTTCTTTTTGTTACTGTTTGAGGGAGAGCAACAAGATTTTCTAAAATGATTGAATGGAGGTTTCTTTGGCATGAGACAGAAAATTTTTAAAGGTATATTATATTTCTGGCTTGTTGTTACAGAAGAATAATAAAGAATGTATTTTCCTATGCCCCTTCTTGTTTAAATGAGATCTCTGATGGTAACCTTCCCCCTCTCCCCTACCCCCTGCAAAAGCAAACACTGCAGGGATACAGCCAGCCAAACAAAAAAGCCCCTGAATTCCCACATATGTGTCTGCTTGTCTGTACACAGTGTTTGAACTTGGAATGAACATGCACATATACCCACACACATACACTACATCAGTGTAAGTCCCAGGCAGGCACGTACCTGTAGTCGGGGTGAGGCTGTAGGATTAAATACACAGTCAGTCAGGGTGAGACCCTAGATCTAGAAACACACACACACACACACAGAGTGCTCCAGGGACACAGACAGACAAGGGCGCTTGTGTAACGAGGATAAGATACTGTGGCAATCAGCTCATTACATAAAAGTAGAAAGGGCCAAATTAATCCCTAGTGTAAGAACACAGAAACCAATGGAGTTATATTCAGGTCAAATTTGACTCCAAAAGCTTTTTTTTTTTTTTTTTTTTAATTAGAGCATAATGTTCAATAAAACTTACAGTGACAAGTAGTGAGGTATGGGTTCCTACATCTCCAGATTCCTGACCCTTCTGAGCAAGGTTATTTTGAAATGAATAGAAATTGCTCTCTAATCCTATTGCACCCCCAAGTACACAAGCTGTCACCCCTAGAGCTAAAAGAGTCTCTCCACCAGCTGTTCACTGGCTAGGTCTATCACACACAGCTAAGAAGTTTAAATTCCCCACTTCTCCACTTTCAGTGCTAGGCATACACAATTCATCACATACTCTTCCTGTGAGAAAAAACTCATCCTGATGTGTGTGGAACCACAAAAGATGTTAAATCCTGCCACAAGCAAACCCTTGTGCCACTGTACTCTCACACTGTTATACTTGGCCACCTTGTTATATTCAGTCTGATCTTCAGAGAGAAACTGGGAGCAGAACCCAAATACTCTTAATCCGATAAAAGCTGAGGCATCTGTTCTGCTGACAAGGTACGTGCTGTAAGAGAATCACCCTTATTGTTTAACAGTATGGTGTCTATGACACATAGTTTAATCTAATTTTGCCATGCAGGTAGAGGAGCGCACACAGATAGTACTAAGCAGTTCATATAATACCAGAAATGTAGAGCAGAAAAAAAGCAAAGCCAATACACTCATCCAATGACTCTAGTTCATGAATTACCTGGGAGCAGGTTGAGATTTTCTGCAATTTGGTTATTATAATTTGATTAATATTTGATTATTTTATATTGACAAATGTATTTGCCCTGCATACATTTCTACTCACACACATACACAACACCGTATATATATAAATATGTAATTATGTATATGTATATATAATTCATTTTA